GAGTTAGGAGCAGCGGAGCAGGGGTCCATACCGTAGATGGGCACATTTGGGCTGAAGCTTCCAGGAGGACACGTGGGGCATCAGCCAGGAGACGATGGATGGGGAAGCGGGAACAAAGGCATGCTGGGAAACAGTGGGTCTGGCCGATGGAGGCAGGTGGTGTGTGCTGGGACATGGGAAGCTGGAGAGCTTGGCTGGGACCAGGCTGCAGTGCAGTTCATTTGCCTGCTGAGAGCTTTCTTTGGGCTATGGCGACAGAAAGGTGTCCTGCTAAGTAAGCCCAGACAGGACACGCTCGGACCCACACAATAGGACGGAGAAGGAATCGAGATAAATCGAGATAAGAGAGGCAGCTGTGGGGATCCAGTCAGGGGGTGACCACAGCGAGCTTGGCCTCCAACCTGCCCCGCTGCTCACTTCTTCAGTGGGGATGACTGCTAAGTGAGCCAAGCTTTTCTCAGGGATTATGTTTCTCAGCGACTGGCTGCTCTTCCTATAGATAAACCACGCTTGCCGAGCGGCCCACAGACTGTCTCGGTCTATAAATAAGCTGTCTGTCTCCATTTACCCTATCTCGTCTCTGCTTCAGGTGCAGCCTTTTCTAGAATTTAGACAGCCAGGAAGATGGCCCGAAATCCCCGGGGGTGTTGAGGGGCTCCGGGGAAGTTCAGCTGCTATAGAGATGGCTACTGATGTTTTTGGAGGTTGGTGGTGGCTTCCGGTGTTCAAGCTGGCCAGGATCCAAGAAGAAGAAGCTCAGATGATGCAGGGAAATTGAGGCCTGGAGTTGATGTCCTGGGAATACTGACTCACTATTACAAAGTCCTGCTCCTTGCTTACCTATTCCCTTTGCTTAAAGGTATTTATCCAATGACTCACTTGGGCTTTCTGGATCCCTTTAAGAGTTTGTCTCAACCCTTACCTTTGCATGAGCCATACTGAGATACAATTTCTCAGCGCAAACTGCTCCTGCTTGAATTGCCCTCCCTGCCCTGCTTGGTTTCTCGTTGCCGTGATCTTACCCATTTCTCCTATGTCATGCCATCGGCTCGCTGCTTCTGCCTCCGCCCCTTCACCCAGCACGCCAGCTCTCCAAGGACAGGCTGATTGTCTGTCTCCTTATTTATCCCAAGGGTTTTAGAAAGTGTGCTCTGTAAGTCTTTGCCAGATTTTAAAATCTGTGTTCATGTCAAGTGCTTGGCCACATGCATGAGCATATTTGGGTAGTATACATATGTACGCGCGTGCGTGCGTGCGTGTGTGTGTGTGTGTGTGTGTGTGTGTATGTGTGTGGTCAAGTTCACATGTCTGTGTGTGTGTGTGTGTGTGTGTGTGTGTGTGTGTGTGTGTGTGTGTGGTCAAGTTCATGTGTCTTCCCCAGTTGCTCTCCAACCTTCGTTTTTTGAGGCACAGCCTCTCTCTCAGATCCTAGGAGCTTACTGACTCAGGTAGGCTGAGTAGCCCGTGAGCTCCTGCCATCCTCCTCTCTGTCTCCCCAGTGCTGGTGTAACATCTGTGCTCTGCCACACCACGGTTTCACACTGATGTTGGAGAGCGGAACTCATGTTCCCATGCTCGTCCGCCCAGCACTGTACTGACTGAACCATCTCCCCAGACCCTTAATAAGTGTTTAATGCCCGACTTTCTGTCATCATGGGTGACTTTCAATGAAAAATTTCTACTCGTTTCAGAGAAAACAAACCATTAAAAGGAATGTATATATGAAAAACTTGCTGCTGATAATTTTTATTGTTCATGTTTGTTAATTTTCCATTACATTTATTGATATGTGTGTGTGTGTGTGTGTGTGTGTGAGAGAGAGAGAGAGAGAGAGAGAGAGAGAGAGAGGGAGGGAGGGAGGGAGGGATAGAGAGAGAGAGAGAGAGAGGGAGGGAGGGAGGGATAGAGAGAGAGAGAGAGAGGGAGGGAGGGAGGGAGGGGGAGAGAGAGAGAGAGAGGGAGAGGGAGAAAGAGAGAGAGAGCATTGTGCTATAGTGTATGTGTGGGGGTGAGAGGACAGCTTGTAGAAGTCAGTTCTTTCTTTCTACCACAAAGTTCCTGGGATTGAACTCAGGTCACCAGGTTTGGTGGCAAGCACCTTTAGTCCCTGAGTTATCTCATTGGCCCCTGTGTTGTTCTGAGACATGGCTAATTTCTGTAGCTCAAACTCTCACAGATGGTCTTGCCTCAGTCTCCCAAACCCTGAGATTATATATGATCCAGGGCATTGAGCTGTTAATGCTACTGTTGCTAAATTTTAACAAAGGGCCACAGTCAAATTACTATGGAAGAACTCAAGATCCTGATTCTCATGCAATGGGTGAATTGTCTTTCTGAAAATATTGGTGTTGCTGGACGATGGTGGTGCACACCTTTAATCCCAGCACTCAAGGGGCAGAGGCAGGCAGACCTCTGAGTTCAAAGCCAACCTGGACTACAGAGTAAATTCCAGGACAGCCATTGATACACAGAGAAACCCTGTCTCAGAAAAACAAAAACAAAACAAAAATAAATACAAAAAGACACTAGTGTCTACCGCAGGCAGCTCTGTTCACTAGATTTGTGTCATGAGGTCACAGTGACCCTTTACAATTTCTAATGGCAAAAACAAGGAGTGACATGATTTTACTTTTTTATTTTACCTTATAATGAACTTTATTTAATCATATTTAGACATGGTTTTTGTTTTCGGAAGTTTCTGTCCAGCCCAGTTCCACAGCCATTTAGACCCAAATAGACACACAGACGCTTATCTTAATTATAAACTATTTGGCCAGTGGCTCAGGCTTCTTATTGGCTAGCTCTCTCTTAATTATTAACCCATTTCTATGGATCTGTGTATCTCCATGTAGTCTTGGCTTACCGGTGATGTCTAGGCCTCTTCCTTCCTCAGCAGCTACATGGCATCTCCCTAGAGACACACTCTCTATCTTCCTCCCCCATTTCTTCTCACACAGTAGCCCCACCTATACTTTCTGCCTGGCTACATCCTGCCTGTCCATTGGCCGAAACAACATTATTTTTCAACCAATAAGAGAAACTTATATCCACAGCATGTGGTAGGACATCCCTTATCAGGTTTTAACATAGAAATAAGATTAGAGAGGTATTCCCTTTATTTTTCTGCATACTTACTTTGGTCTAGCCACATTAAAAAAGTACTTTTACTTATGGACATGAAGTTCTTCCTGCATGTGTGTTTGGTGCCCGTGGAGGCCAGAAGAGGGCATTGAGTACCCTGGAACTGGAGTTATGGGCAGTAAGGAGGCACCGTGTGGGTGGTAAGCCTCAAAACTGGAAAGGCAGCTAGCAGTCTTATAACATCAAGCTGTCTCTCCAGCCCGTAGTCTAGCCTCATTCAAAGTGATCAGTGGTCCCAGACACTAGCAGAAACAATAGCAGCCAAGGCAGTCATAGGAGGGAAGGCTTGGGGGATTTGTTTTTCTTTTACTTTAGAAGCTTTTGTGTGAGTTGGTAACCAGGACAGTTTAGTGAGACCGGGAAGAGAGGGAAGATGGAGACCAGGGCATGTGTGATTAGCTGGCTTCACAGGGGTGGGGTGGTGAAACTAGCAAAGGCATTAAAATCGTCTTTTCATAGACTATATAACTGGCAGGGAAATATGGGCATGCATTGAACTTTCTCTACTGCCAAAGAAATGAGTGCCCTTTATATGAAGTTTTGTCTTATACAGTTACATTACTAAAAATGCAAGTGAGGTCAGTTCACTCTTGGATGGCTTGTGGCAATGATGGAGCTACAACAATTTTGGAAAGTCTTTTGAGGAAGAGCTCTCGAGCACTGTAGAAGTGTTAATTGCCCGTTTTCTATAGCTGTATTTCTAGAAATTTGTTTTAAAAATAAACTAAAATGAAGGGGAGGGTAACAATATTAACATGGATCTTTTTCACATTACCTTTAAAGCAAAACCTGGAATTCACTTAAACGAAAAATGAAAGAATTGTATCCATTCAGAAGAATTTTCCGAAGAAAATGCATCAGCATGAGAAATGCTATTGTTTCAAAGATAAGGGGAAAGGAGTTGGATGTGGATTTATCTTATTGTATCAATCTTTTTGTTGCTGTTGCTTTTGCTTGCAACATCCTCAGAAAAACAGTGCCAATCCAGGAAGACATTTCAATGTGCTAGCATCCTGCTCTGAAGAGTTTTCCATTGTAGTGTTTGTTTTTGTGCCGTGCCCACCCACAAAGATTCTGATATTTTAATTGATTCTTCGTAAACATCAGATTTCTTATGCATAAAATGGAAGGTAGTCGTGAGGTGTGGGTTTGTTCATTTTGCTGGGATTAAATACCGTGAAGGATTTATTCTGATCCATGGTTTAGGGAGGATACAGCCCATTGTGGTGGGGAAGGCAAGATGGACCAGGTGTGATTGCACACATTTCTGTCTCCTTACTCAGGTCCCTCTTTGGTCAACAGGCCAGGCAGGCAGAGGCAGGCAGACCCCATGTCTTCCATTTTGCGAATTCCAATCCCCTCCTGAAACCTGTTTAGAAATTGCCCCCAAGGTAAAACAGGAGCCCAACTGCCTTTTAGGTAGTGGGAGGAATTTGTATCACAGGCATCTTGGATACTCTCTTCATTTCTGTTTATGACAGAAGTGTACAAATCCAAATAAACTAGCTTAGAACAAAGACTAGCCACACCTCCTGGATGGTCAACAATAATATCATTATAGTTCTACATATATGGAAAAGAGAAAAATGTTACAGTAGTCTACAACCTCACACTTCTTGATTTACTTCTATGTAGTGTATGGCAAGTAGCTTTGTTTTGTCAACTGTTCATTTTTCCAAATCATTTAAATAAATAACAAATAATAAATAGTCATTTAACATCGAGGCATATTCTTCTACGTGGCAATGGCCTATTGCTGGACAGGGAGGCTAATTCTGAGCTTTTGTTTCTGTGAGGCAGAGTTTCCACGGATACCTTGTTAGCTCAGTCTTCGTGCCAGCACGCATAATGATTTCTTCAGCTTTCTTTCCTGTTTCAAGGCAGCGAGAAGGGGACTGCAGAACAAATAGGTGAGTTGAAGTAGGTAGCTCAGGAAGAGAAGAAAGTGCGGATAGCGTACGGAGATTCCAGTGGCAGAGTCCTCTCGCCCTTTCTGTGTGAGCACATGGGGGTTGGTGCAGATGCAGGAAGCAGGCGTGACTGCCTGGCCGGTGAGCCCCACAGACCCACCTGCCTCCACTTGAGTGCTGGGATTACACGTGTGGACCAGCGCTCTTTATGCTTGGCTTCTGGGGATGAATGCATGCTTGGAAGGCAAGCACTTTACTGATGAGCCCCATGCCTCGGGCTCATGGCTTCGCCTAGACTTTTTGCCTTGCCAAGCCATGGCAATCCACAGAGAGATCACTGGAAATGCTATTCCTTTGAAAATAAGCATCCCTTTCTATAAATCCCACCTTCCAATGCCCACTCTCTCAAACATCTGACTGCGAGTGTGTATTTACCTGCCATGAAGTTCCTGTCTTTTTTTTTTTAACCCCTGACCTGGTCCTCATGCGGAGATGCTATTGGGAGGCTTTGTGCCATGTGCTGTGGGATTTCTGCTCATCCCACCCTTTAAGCAATGTCTGATGTCAGGCTGAGCGCTCTCTACATTGTGATATGCTTAGGGAGCAAAGCTGATTCCCAATCATGTTTATTTGACTTTGGACCCTGTGTCTGCCCCCCCCCCCCGGGCTGTACCAACCGCAAGACATATACGGAGAAATTTAGGGGCACTTGTGACTTCTTGAAGAATGGGACAAACGGTCTTTGGTCTTGGCACAACTTCACAATTCTTTGTCACAAAGTCATGTTTGGAAGGAAAGCGAAACATTTTGGAAGAAAGCAGATTACACACCACAGCTTGACACAGAGAGGGCTGGAGCCCGGCAGAGGCAGGGGCTCAGTGGTCCAGAGTATTACGATGTGCTTGTGCCGTTCACCGTTTGATGGGGCACTCTGAGAATGGAAGGGAAGACCAACTTAATGTACGCATTCTTAAACCACACCCGTAGGCGGTTGCCTAAGGAGGATGTGGTGTAAGGGGTCAGACCACGTAGATACGGTGCTGCTGGTGGACTATCTAGTTGGGATCAGGAAGGCAGGCTCTGAGGTTCTGCCACTACTTGATTTTTTTCTTCATCAAGGACTAATATTCTCAACTTTTCTGATCTGTTATGGAACGTAATTAGGATGTCTGGTTTTAAGAAGTGTGGCGTGCTCTCTACTCATTAGATTTTGGGGACCATATTGGCTTGTCTTCATTGTGACAAAATGTTGATGAAAACCAGCTTAGGGGAGGGGAGGCTTATTTTGGCTCATGGTTTCAGAGGTGTCTTCAGTGCATAGACCTTTGGATTAGTGGCTTTGGACTTACAGTGAGCAGAACATCACTGTGGAACCACAGGGGAGAGGAAACATGTTCCCCTTTTCACACAGAGAGAACACCACCCCGCAGACCGACTTCTTGACCAATGCTTTCATATGAGCGACAGAGGAGCCAGCTTTGAGTGGCCATCTTCACGTTTAAAATCTTACTTCAGAAAATCCAGGGGTTGGAGAGTCGGCTTAGCAGTTAAGAGCATGTGCTGATCTTCTAGAGGACCTGAGTTCAATTCCCAGAGCCCACACAGGTGGCTCACAGCTGCTTGTAACTCCAGTTCCAAGGAGATTCAATACCTTTGGCCTCCATGGGCACCTGTACACACACACACACATACACACACACACACACACACAGAGAGAGAGAGAGAGAGAGAGAGAGAGAGAGAGAGAGAGAGAGAGAGAGAGAGAGAGAATCTCCACCAGGATTTTCCCCAAAGCTCCCTGCCTTCATGCTTCCACATTCCTTTCTGTCTGTCTGTCTGTCTGTCTGTCTGTCTGTCTGTCTCTCCTTCTCCTTTCTCCTGCACTTTCTTTCCACACTGCAGTCATTTTAAATCCTGTCCTGCCCCTCTGGAACCACCACTTAAGATTAACACTGAAACCCACCATTTTGCACAATTAATGAACTCTAATGAAAATAGCATGTTGGAATTTAATCACCACTGTGCTGGTAATAAGAGGTGAGACCTTCAAAACATGACCGAGCAATGGGTGCAGAGACCCTGTGAGTGGTGCTGATTTCTTTAAAGAAAAGCTTGGAGGACGTTTTGTACCTTTTCACCATTCGAGGACACAAATAAGGGCACTGTCTTTCAAGAAAGGAGATAAGCCTCTCCCTTTCACTGAGAGTTTGTTTGCTGCCTTGAACTTCTCAGCCTCCAGAGCTGTGAGCGGTCAATTAGTATTTACTCAAGATAAAGCCTCATGAAGCTGAGGCTGGTCTAGCCTTGGTTACATAGCTGAAGATAACCTTGAACTTCTGATGCTTTGGGGTCCACCCTTCCAGTGACGAGACTGTAGTCATGTGCAACCGCACCCCATTTCCGTGGTGCTGATGCCAGAACGAGGGCTTCGCTTACCCAAGGAAGAACTCCATCAATTGAACCACGCCCCAAGCCTAGTTTATAGAACTTATGAGTCACTCACTGTAGAGCGTTTGAACCACGCCCCAAAGCCTAGTTTATAGAACTTATGAGTCACTCACTGTAGAGCGTTTGGTCCTAACCACTTGCTTGGACTGGGATATTTAGAAATAGGCTCTTGCAGATGTAATGCAGCTAAGGGGGTGGTGCCCTTATAAAGAGAAGAAAGGGGCTCGAGTCACACTGCTACCAGTCAAGGAATATCAGCATCCCCCAGAATCTGGAAGAAGAGATGAATTATCCTCGACTGGATAATTTCTGCTGGAGTAAGCAATGATTGGTCCACAGCTGGACCCCAAACTGCCATAGACTGCAAGAGAACAAATTTTTGTTGTTAGCCAGAGGTAACCTAACCCTAGACTATTGGCATAGTGGGTAGATGGTAACTAGTACTACCTCCCAGGGCAAACCAGGCATAGTGGCCGGCATGAAATTAGCTCATCTCATCTCTACAACTCTACTGATGCTACTGCAGATTACAGAGCAGGGTGCTACACTTGAGTAGCTGTAATGATTTGTCCAGGATTCTGTGGTAGGGGCCAGAGTGTGCATCCAGAATTTCAATGCCAAAGTCCTTATCCATGGAAAGAGCATGAACCCTGCTCCCTCTCATAGCCTCAGGACACATGGCCATAGATCCAGCAGCAGGAGTCAGCTTCCTTTGCTGTGGAGGACTCCCTGAAGAATCACTTTTAAAAAAAAGTCTCATATTCCGTGTTCAATTTCAAGCATTTCTGGAAATCACACCATGACTCCCTGAACTTGTAAGAGTGGGACTGTAAGGGAGGAGGTCCTGAGGGTGTAAGTCAGTAGGTTTGGAGTGAGAGGATGGAAACATGGAAGAGAGGTAGCAAGTGGAATTCTACAAAGACATCTAGTACCTTTTGCTTCAGGTGGAGGTCCCATGGAAGGGCTGTTTATAACATCCCGTGATAACACCCAGAAGATGTGGGAATTACACACTAGTCCTAGCTCCAACCTGCTTGTGTCTGTGGGGGGAAGCAGTCAGCTTCTCCAAGTCTCAGTGTCTCCATCGATAGAATGGGATCCGACTCTGTTCTGTTAGCATCACAACACTATTGTGAAGGTCAAGTGGGATTCTACCCATGATAAGCTATTCTACAGAAAGACTTGACAAGAATATGAATGTGTGAAGATATTCATGGCAGCCTTTTCTGTTCCAGCACACACACACACACACACACACACACTCACACAGACTTCCACAAAAGAACCAAACAGCAACAAATATAAAACCAAAATCATCCAATAAGCCTGGAGGAAAATTGTGTCACCATTAATAAGAATAGTTCTGAAACATGTGTAACTCCATAGGAAAGTGCTTGAACAAGTTATATGTGTAAATATATATAGACACACACATATATATGGAATCATATATATATGAGAGGAATCTAAAAATCATATGTGCTCTACCATGTGTAAAGTCATTTATAAACAAACACAAGGCTCCCCTAACAGAAGATAGACTCACAAAGAGCCCAAGGGTTACAGTGAAGATGTTTTGAATAAATAAAGATGTTTTGGTGACATGAAATATTTGGGAAATGCAGCTCAGAGAAAATTCAGATAAGAGACACACGAATGTACACACTGCAGTTCAAAAGGCTGGAGATTTGTCTCGCAGTTCCTGCTGGTGGGGAAGCTCCGAATCGCAGGCAAGTTTGAAGAGACGAAAGCAGTTATGACTATTGGTCAGGTGGTAACAGCTCGGGGCATGAGTTCCTTAGGGATAGGTATTGTGGGGGTCCACACTAGCTGTTGTATAGGAAGTCTTCAGTGAGTCATCTACATGCAACAGACTCATTACCGTCGCTAGCAGCGGGGTCATTTCTGCTTCATGGACTGCAGAGCTGGTGATGAGTCTGAGGTTCCTTGTGTGGGTATCAATGGTGGCAGGCTCCAAATTCTCACTCCACAGGCCAGTGTGTTCCAGACCCCCACATAGTCCTCATCGATGGGAAGGGCCAACTCATGTCCATCAGCCTGGTCTCTCTATCTCTATCAACCAGAGGCTCGCTAGTCCCCAGTGTCTATGATATGTTCAGTCACACGGTGACGGGGAATTAAACTTACCTATGGGGCTCAAACCTGCCAAGCCATCGACATGAACTAGGGTTACTCTTCTGGATTATCCCCGTGGTCCTAATAAAATTTAAAAGAATCCCTGTGAGATGAGGGAGGCTGGTAAAAAGAACAAGAGAGGTCAACATGAGCAAGACAGACTCGTCTTGCTGCTCGTGAAGGTGGAAAAGGGGAACTGAAGAAATGTTAGGGCTTCTAGAAGCCGAAGAAAGAAGAGGAAACGTGTTTTCCCCCAGAGTCTTCAGAACATTCCAGTTCTGCCAACATCTTAATTTAGGCTCGTTGAGACCCAGGTTGTTCTCTGACATCAGAGTTGGGAGATAATATATATGTATGCATTAAGTGACTCATTTGTGGCCGTGAGAATAGCAGCATCCATTACACTGTACACTGGATGTCTCCAGGTTCCTGGCTGGTCACTCTGAAACTCCGACATTGTGGCCTCCTCCAGGGAGGGCAGATGCGTGGGCAAATCCCACCTCAGCTTGAAGTTAGTCACCCGGCTCAGTGTAGCTGCTTGCTAACCCGGTGACTAATGTTTGCATCGGCTGTGACCAACTCTGAAGTCTCTTGTTTAGGTCCCAGATGACGTCCCTAAATAAAGCAGGATTTATACCTACGACGGACAGATACCTGTGTGGATCCTCTGATGTGGGAGTCATCAACCCTGTCTCGTGGCTGAGGAAAACGAGGACCAAGGGTGATGGGAGACAAAGCCCACAGAGAACAGCAGAGCGAGGCTGGAATCCGGGTGCCTGGCCCGGTTCTCCCGAGCTGTGTGCTCAGCTCTGAGGCGCCTTCCTCCGGAAGCCGATGATGGAGGAATGTCATCTTAGAGACTGGTCTCTGCGGCCCTCCACAGTTCTCATCTAGAAGATCACACATGTTGAGTGCTGCTGGCCACTATCTCAGTCCTCATTATATTATACACACTGAGAAGGAGACCCCTCTTCTAAGTTCGTCTAGCAGAGACTTCTTAAATTGCTCAATACTGGAAGTCACTAGAGATGTGTGTTCTTTAATTTGAAGTTAAAAATAAAAAAAATACTTCAACTGTAGAAGTGAGAAATGCTTGCCTGTTTTTGATGTACATAAGAGAAGTCAGCTAGACTTTTGGCAAAGGGATCTCTCTCTCTCTCTCTCTCTCTCTCTCTCTCTCTCTCTCTCTCTCTCTCTCTCACACACACACACCCACGAAGCGCACACCATGCACCCATCTCCCCTTTTTCCCCCTCCTGCTGTACTCCATGACGGTTTTCTATTCCTGGGAGAACCTCTTTACCGCTGCCCCAAACGCCCTGAGAATATTTGTTCTTGTATTTCCGTCAATAAAGTCCTCTAATTACGATCCCCACCCCCTTTATTGCAAATAGTACCACAGAAAGGATCTGCAGCATTGAAGCTGCCCTGTGCTGTAGAAGAAAAGGCTCAATCTTGAAGGCCAAAGACAAGGACTTCCCCAAGGTCACACACCTAACTTCATCCCTTGTTTCGATAAGCCACATACACAGGTGCCCAAACCCCACTTAATGGACAAATTGATGGGCATCCTGGGACTCCCGTTGTTGGTACGATCAACCGCACGCAAAACTGCGAGCATCGAGGGCGTCAGAAGGGCGAGCGTCTGGGATATTTTAATATTTAGTATTTCCAGACTCAGCAGGCAGTGGGCTAAATCTGTCCACTGATGGGCAGGCTCGAATTATGAAACCACTCACGTAGGTGGAGAGGTTGCCCTGAGCCGGGAAATTGTTGCTAAGGGTGTCTGCTCAAGGTGGCTGAGGGAGGGGTTGCTTTGTCTGGGGCAGGACAGGCGACGTGTGGACAGGTGAGGAGTCATAATGGAGATACGGGTCTGGGTCAATCGGGCTGGAAACCTTCCAAATTCTCTGCTCGCCAAGAAGCCAGGAGAAGACCCGTTAGGGAAAGAGGCCCCCCCCCCCAGGATAGGACCAGCCCAGTTTTTTGCAGGGCTGGGGGTGAGACTGCCCCCTGGTGGCTAAGGTTTACAAAGGCGCTGAAGGGAGAGGGGTTTCCGAGCCTACTCCTGCCACAGATTTTGAAATTTCTATTCTCCACAGCGGCCCAGGGTGGTGGTGCTCCCATGAGACCCAAGGCTTGGAGCCAAGCGTGCCCCACAAGGCAAGACAATTCTGCAGACTGGACGTAGGACTGGGGATGGAGTGGGTTTATACTGGGACCGGGGCTGAGAAGGCAGCCAAACTTCCATAGTAAGATTTGACACAGCGCATGAATGATGAGTGTTTGTTAATGCTCTGCCTGTATGTGACATACTAAGCACATCACACATATTTCCTCAATTCTTTGTGTCAGCACTACTTGTTCAGTATCGTTACTCTCAACTTTACAGATGAGAGTCAAAGAGAAGAATTTAAGTAATGTGTTGTCGTTTTAATGTTGGTGGCAGTTTGCAACTGTCACTGCTTAATGCCACACAGGCCCATGACACTTGCTTTAAGAGGCACTATTTTTTAAAAAGATTTATTTAGCTTAGTCTGTGTGATAGTTTCTGATCCCCTGGAACCGGAGTGAAGACAGTTATGAACCGCTGTATGGTTACTGGGAATTGAACTTAGGTCCTCTGGAAGAGCAACCAGGGCTCTTAACCACTGAGCTGTCTCTCCAGCTCCCTGTTTGCTTGTTTTTAATTTCTATTTCCATCATTTCCACTGGGGAAGCTGAGGCTTACAGACATTGTTATCCATTAACTTTTACAGCAGAGAAAACCACACTCAGGAATAGTAACTTAAAACAACCATTGCTTATTTTGTTTTGTTTTGTTTTCCAAGACAGGGTTTCTCTGTGTAACAGCCCTGGCTGTCCCGAAACTCTCTCTGTAGACCAGGTTGGCCTGGAACTCACAGAGATCCGCCTGCCTCTGCCTTCCGAGTGCTGGGATTAAAGAAAGGCATGCGCCACCACACCCATATCCATTATTTGCTTTTTAACGCATGATTGGAGATGTGGCTTGGTTCAGATGCAGGATTCTTCTGGTTGAATGAGTCTGTTGTGTCTTGATGGTCGTGTTTGGTCAGCTAGGCCAAGAGGTGGGGAGTTATGGGGTGCCCATGATTGGTGATGGATCCATGTGCTTTTCATCCATCAGGCCACCTGGGGTCTGTGCTGCCATTTTAAAAAGCAGCACAAGAGAGGACACCATGTGACAAGGCTTGGGCAGATGGCCTTTTGTGGGGGATTGAATGGGAAAAGGGGGTGAAGGAGAGGGGAGACCAGCCTCTGGGGACAGGAGTGGCAGAAGAGCAGAGAGAGGCAGAGAGAGAGAGAGAGAGAGAGAGAGAGAGAGAGAGAGAGAGAGAGAGAGATAGACAGACAGACACATACACACAGAGAGAGATACAGACAGACAGAAACACACACAGAGGCAGACAGAGGGGGGGAGAGGAAGATGAGAGGTGGGCCCTTTTAAAAGGGAACACAGTGAATGTGCACAGGTGGTGGTCTTAGTGGCTGCAGCTGAGGGCGCATCCTGTCAGAACCCCAAGGGCAGGCCAGTTCAGATGCCTGAATACTAACAGTCTGGTCAGGGGAACAGGGGCAGATACACAGCCAAGGCCACTGGGGACTCAGTATGAAGCCATTCCCCTGCCCGATGGTGGCATTATCCCAAGCAGCTCCACCTACACCTGTCTGGACAGTTCCAAGGAGTAGCCCCTTCCAGGCAAAGGAGTGAACCTCTTCCTCCATCGATCCTAAAGTGCCAAAGACGGACCAAATTCATGCCTGGCAGCATGGATGTAGACAAAAATACTTAACAAGGAATAAATTGCATTTGTTTATCGCATGCATCATCGGGGTCCAGATAATAGCTTTCATTAGTCTTGCAAAGGGGAGTAGGGTTAAGCCCAAACAATTTGGCCATGAAAAAAATTACATGACTAAGGCAGTGTTGTTCAGTCCTGACTTCCCAAATGCTCAAGGTGTAAAATATTTAGCAGTGGCTCCAAAGCATCTTCCTTTGAATTCAAGATCTTCTCTAGGTGAGGCATCAAGGTGACAGCGTGTTTGTGATTCCCCTGCATGATGTTTTCTGGATGCCAAAGACATGCTGTGTTTGTGGGAGGATGAGGATGTTCACATGTGATTTGCCCTGGACTGAAAAGGCTCCTTCGTAGGTGGAATGAAATCCATTATTTTTCAAGAGTGAACCAGGTTACTTAAGTTTCTAGGAGGAGGTGAATTTAGGAAAGGACTCTGGTTAGACATCTAAGGCTCAGGTATTCAGAAGGCCTGTGGGTGCCACCAACCAATTCATGACATGATCCAGGACTAATGACCCCACGGTTCTAAACCTTCATTCCAGCATACCGAGTGGGGGGTTGGCAACTGTCAGTGAGGAGTGTGTTGAACTACAATAGTGAGGAATCCAATGGAAGTTTACTTTTGTTGGGAGGTAGAAAACACACAGTTGGTGTCAGTAACTAGAGATTGCTACTTGAGATGGAGAGCTGGCGTCTGTTCCCATGTCCTTGTCCTTGAGCAATAAAGATAGCAGCCACACCTGCAGATGAGGAGAAGAGTGGGTAAAGGGCAGGGTCAAAGGAGAGTGCTGACTAAGATAGTTCTCCCTCATTTTAGGGAAGAAACCCATTTCTTGGGAGTCCTCCATCCCCTATAGTCTTTTCCTTACATGTTATTTTCCAGAACTGAATTATGGTCACCCAGCTGCAAAGAATCCTGGGAAGGTGACCTTTCAGCCCTGGGCGCATTCACTCCTCAATGAAATGAGAAGCCTGTAGATCAAGAAGAACAATAAATAGGATGTGGTCAACAGTCCTGTGTTTTGTGTCCTGGGAGGAATGGGGCTGTCATTTTCTGATCTCCTAGTACTGGGCAAGGAGTGTAAGCTCCCTTGGCTAGTCCTCCCGTTTAATTCCCACAGCATGAATACAAGTAAGCGTGGATTCTATTTGTATACCTAGAGAAAGACACACGGAGGAGAGCAGGCAGATTGCTCACATTGACACGGCGAACTGAACTCAACCTGGTACCTATATCTGCTTGGTCCAAGGGTGAAGGAGGTCTCAAGCCATTGTATCTTATGTTTTTGTTTGCTCGCCCCCTTAGAAGAAGCCCCAAACAATAACTGGTACCCTCTGATACCTTCACCACAGCCCACTGTTAATCCCGACAGCGTATCCCTCCCGGTCTGTACACTGCTTGCCTCTGGGTACAGTTTCCTTGCTGCTTTAGCAAACCTGGTTGAGTGCTCACTCTCAGTTCTTTGGATGAGAGGTCAGGAACCTAGAAACAGCCATCTTAGACCCGAGTGCTGGTCACACCCACACGCTCCTTGTCTGCCTTTCCTTGATGTGAGCTTCGTGACCTAACCTGCCGAAGCCTTCTGTGGCGTGAAACGGACCAAGCCTCTCCATGGTTTCCCTTCCCCTCTAACAAGTGTCTCTGGGGCCCTTTTCAGCGCTTCTGACACTGGAAGACGTGTTTGGGCTCAGGAAGCAGTGTGCCCGGGAGATTTGGGTCTTGACTTATTCTGTTTGAAGACTGCTTTAATTTATTGGTCATGGTGACGATGCTAAAAACAAACCAGGAAAGCAGAGCCTGAAATTCCATTTCCCCCTCCAAATGTGGTGCTTAAATAAAATCCAGTCTCATGGAGCAAACCCAGGGGGGGTAGAAATGGATAGGGTTTCTCCTGCCTTCGAGTCCCAGAGGATGCTGGAAACAGCAGGGTCTCCCTTCAACCAGATGGGCTTCTGGCTCCTAGTGCCAAATAGGCTCAGAAGAGAGAAACTGGCTGCCCAAATCAGGAAAGCCTGCTTGCTGTGACGTCAGCTTATTCTCCCAGATGACTAGAGCTGGGAGACCAGGCAAAGATGGGGAAAACTAACCACGCCGAGAGACTCTCAAATGTGAACCGACCAGACTGGTATTTCAAGTCACAGCTCAAGGTCTGCCAGGAATACAGAACTGGCTGACAGTGGGTCCCCAGGCATAGACAACATGCAATCTCCCTTCAGGGCCTCTGTCGGTTTTTCTGGGCGCTATGAACAGTCTTGAATCTTGTCTGCCACCATTCTTCCTTATAGTGGGACAACCTTGGCTTCTCGAGTGACATCCTGTGCTTGGGTTCTTTTCATTCCCCAACTTGGAGCATCAGTCCCATGGAAGGTCAGGGCAGTGGGGTTAAGGGGTCATGACCTTTGGACTCAGCCTTTTATTGCTCATGACAGCGGGAACCTTCATGCATTTCTTGATCATCAAAAGCTTCCGTTTTTCACCTTTGGGAAGGGCACAGTCATACCTAACATGGCATTTTAGAGAGTCTTAGATGCGGTAGGAAGGTTTCATTTAGTGAACCGGAAAGAAAACGTGCTCACAAAATGATGTTATTCCTTCTTTCCTGCCCTATTGGTCCTATTGTGTATTTATTGTGCCTTAGAATCTGGAGAAACACATGTGCACATGCGCGCACACACGCACACTCTCAAACACACACTCTCTCACACACACGCTCACACACACATGCGTACACACATGCACGCACATGCACATGTGTGTCTGTATGTGCACACATGTGCATACACACACACTCACACACGCTCACACACATGCGCACACATACATGTGTGTCTGCATGTGCACACACACATACACACGCAGGTATATGTGCATGCACGCACACACGCATGCACTCAAGTAAATGTCTAGGACCTATCTCAGCCTCTTTGAATGTACCTGGGCTGAATCTCTGTGAAGCCCAGGGGAACATGATGCCCTCAGACACTACTGAACAAGACTTCTGCTCTGTGCCCAAAGCTGTTGCTGTTCCCACCTCCATGGACATGATGCCCAAAGCCAGCCTATGGTTTGCACTTTACTCTCTCACAGAGTAGACAGTCAAAACGTTTTCACTGGATTCCTCCCATGTGCCTAGATATCCGTTCTCACTGACACCTTGACAGGAGGCGAGCCCCTCTCTGGGCTCGAGGAGAAGGAGGAGGATGAAATGTGCATTCTTCCCACCAGCCTGGTCCCAGAGCCGGGCCAGGGTCAGTCCCAAATGAACACACAGGACGCTATATTAATTATGAAGCTGTTGGCCATTTGCTATGGTTTCTAATCAGCTAACTCTGACTTAATTATTAACCCATAATTACTAATATATATTTTTATAAGGACTCGTCTTTCTGAGGACGCCATCCTGACATGTCCTGTCCCTCTACTCTTTACTACATTTCCCAGAATCCTCCTCGACTCCTAGTCCCACCTATCTTGCTTCCCTATTGGCCAACAGTGCTTTATTGACATATACACAGAAGGACGTCCCCCATCAGGTGGATGAAGTTTTTGTTTTTTTTTCAAGTGAGTTGATTAGAGAACATTGGTGAAGAAGGGCACATCCTTGGGCACCCAAGCTGGGAACCAGAAGGGCCAGGTCAGAGTTGAGAGACTGTCTGCTGGGTTTCTCACTTACCTTTGGCAACGTGGAGGCAGAAAGACAGGTAGCCAGGCTGGGAAGCACCTTCAAGGGACTGGGTGATTCCACGGTGCTGCCAGTACCCCAGACATGCCCATCTGTGGGGTGGGGTGGGACTGGTGCTTTCGGCTATGGCTGTTGGGAGTCTACTGCTTCTCCATCCTACTCGTACCTCACAAAGACCCTCCAACCGTGTCTTCTTGGGCTACCCCAGAGGGCATCTTCAGACCCCTCAGTAGCCTCAGGCTTCCATCGTATCTTTGCAAGAAGGTTGTTCTTTGCGCGTGGAGGCTTAATCTCACACAGAGCAGGTGGTGTCAGGAAGTTGGTGGCATTATTTCCGTCTTCAGCATGGAAGCACGGATGGGGTCCGTTCTGAGGTCATCGTACACTGTTCTCCACAGTGACCGCACACTGGTTTCCCCCACCCTTCCCCCACACCTACTAGAACCACCCTAAAGATAAATCAGCTGGCTCCAAGCCCATGTGTGAGAGTCCAGTTCTGTGGAGAGTGTGTGAGCCTCTGCAGGCTCACCTGGCTGAAGGGAATTTCACACGCATGTCTTTATGGGCATGCGTTATATGAAGTGCCATGGCTAGGATTCTCTGAGAATACATTATGGAGTTCTCTTCTTTATAATTTCATTGTGGGGCCATTCTCTCCTTCTGGAAACTTTGTAGATAGAGAGAAAGAAGTTGTAGTTGAGGACAGTACTTCCTATGCTCAAGTTTTTAGGGAAAAGCATTAAAAACCCATTTTTTTAAAAAAGGAAAGCAATATGACAGGCCAGTGTATCACATGTTTTAAGGGTTTCTTCTGTTACATGAAGCGTTCGCCTCGTGTGTGTGTGTGTGTGTGTGTGTGTGTGTGTGGTGTGTGTGTGTGTGTGTGTGTGTGTGTGTTCACATGGTGGTGAGATGCAGTTCTCAACAGGGTCGTACGGGAAGGTGGCTTCCAGGCCCTGCTGTCGGCAGACCGTTGGGCTCTGTGCTGATGGCAGGTTCATCCTTGCCTCTCTGGCAGCAGATGTCAACATTCCTTTCAAAGGAGGCATGGAGCCGATGCTCCCCACTGCTCCCAGTCCTGGCTGTCATTCTCAATGACCGTGATGGGCCAGTCAGGTGGTTTCTTCAGGGAACTTCAGTTTTAGGTGGAGAAGTGTCAGGTCTGAAAATGCTGAAAATGCTTCACTCCATAGGCTGTTGGGAAGACACCGTGTCTCGGAGACACTGCTCTGCAAGTTTGAACTCTTGATTTTCTTCCCTTCTAAGACCTGGTTGTTCAGTTGTTGGGTTGGTTCTGGGAAATACCTGTGTCCATTCCCTCCCTCCCTTTCTCCTTCTTTCCCTCCCTCCTCCTCTTTCTTATTCCATTCCATTTTTTTTTTGTTATTGCTGGAAACCAAGAGCTCCATTTTAAAGGAATTATCTGAGCCTGATCCTAATACTTTTTGATTTTATGACTGTAGAAAAATCATCTAACTCCAAAGTTTCGGGTTTCTGTCTTACAAGATGAAGTTTGTCCACACACACACTGTGCTAAATACTTGCGTACGGTTTGATTGTATTCATACAGAAAAATATAAAGGTTAGGAATTAAGAGGGTTTGAATGTAGATAGATAGAGTTCTTTGCGGGGTGACAAGACAACTCTGAGTTCTGATTATGACAGTGGCTGTATCACTCTATACACGTGTCAACATTCAGAGAGCATTACATCAAATCATCAGTTTCCCTCATGATAATTTAAAAGCCGCTTCTCATTATGCAGAGTGAGGCTGTGGTTGCCTGTATTTTGACATCCTGTAGACCTGCCCTGTCTAATACAGTAGACATGAGGCACTTATGGGAGGTTTGTGCCAGCTTAAGTGCACCGTGCACACCAGATTTTTAAAATTGAAGGCTTCGTGTGAAAATTAAATATCTCAGCAACACTTTGTGTGTTGGTTACACATGGAACTGCTACTGTTTTGAATATACTGGGCTAAATAACACACGATTGAAGTTAATTTCGCCTTTTTCTTTCTCCTTCTTAACATGTGGTTACAAGAAAATTGTAATTGCAATGTACAGACTATATTTTTTATTAGATGGTATTGCTTAAGTGGCCACCATCAGGGAGGAGTGGGGAGCTCTGGAACATTCTTTGTGCAGGACGCCGTCAGGTGTATCATTAACACCATTCACGACTCAACAAGGGCCACCTGGGCCCGTCTGGCGGCTGCGGCTTCCTCCTCCTCCCCATCTGTCTAGGGAGGTGAAGGCAGCTCTACACCTGCTTATCTGCTGCTGTTCGCCTGGTTTCAGGGAGTCGGGGAAGCAGGTACCGCAGTGGGTCCCTGTGAGGCGGGCTAGGATGCGTTGGGTGTGTAAGTTAGGTGTGTGAGAGCACCCAGGGTCACTGAGGTGTGGGTTAGAGTTTTGTCTTATTGAGATTTGCGTCTGAGAGCTGCTTCACCGTGGATATTTCTTAGCCCGGGGTTTTCATGTGCAAAGCAAAATGAGGTTCATTCCCTCTGCCCCTGTGTCCTCCTGTCCCTCCTTCCCTCCCTCCCCACCTTCTGCTGTAATTTATTTATTTTACCTTGTTGAGTGATTTGTCCCCAGAGCAAACAAGAGTCCGCAAAACACCTGGTAAACCTTCAGGAAACACTTCTGCTATTCCTTCTCCTCAGGTTGCTCCGTGTGGTATTTGTTCTTCAACCTAGAGCTTGGCCTCTCCTCCTCTCCTCCCCTCCTCTACCCTTCCCCTCCCCTCCCTTCCCTGTCCCCTACTTTCCACTCCCCTCCCCTCTCCTCTTCTCCCCCCTTCCTCTCTCCCTCACTCTCTAGGTACCCTGCCCAGCTTTTCTCCCTGATTCAGCACTGAGAAATGCCAAGGCAAGCATTTGCACAAAGGGTGAAGCTGCCTGTCAGCAAACACTCACTCCCGTGTCAGTCTCCCCCGCGTATCAGAAACCCGCCTGGACTCCCCATGTGTCTAAGATGGGCCTGGACTCCACGGAAAGCCCTGAATCCTGTTCAGCTCCCCAGTCTGACTCATACACTGCCGCATGGAAACTCCAGGGCTCTGCTCCCCAGAGGCAACCCCCAGCCCTCAACGGGGGTCCTGGCAATGTTCCTGGATTCAGCTTCAAAGATACAAAAGCCTGTGAGCTCCCAGCACCGAGTCCGTGCAAAAGCTGCCCCTTTCCCTCGCTCTCCTCTGCCTTTAGCTCCGACTGGCTTTTATTAAATTATTCTTGCTGCTTGCTTCCCGCAGCTCAGTGTCGGCATCAAATGCTAGGTAGGCACAGAGAAAATGAATACTTTCCCAGACTTAACAGCTCCGTAAGTTTTCATCAAAGGAACCTATTAAGCGCTTGTCTGGACATGGCCCTGCAGAAAGACATGAGTGGCCTCTCAGGGCTTGTTCATAATGGCGGCCACAGCGGCTACCTGGTAGGGCTGTCTTGATCACCGGTAGGACTTTGGAAGAAACGAGGTCGTGTCATATCTCAAGTCCAGAGGGCCATGTTTCAGAAACAAGCCAAGGGTGCGATCTCCAGCCATCAGAACAGGCCTCTTCAGAGGAGTGGCAGTGTGGCCTGATGGTCAAGCATGCGCATTTCTGAACTGAGCAGTCTAGCTCTGGATTCTTCCGTGTAGGGTCCTCTTGCGTGCATAACAATTCAGATCGCAATACCCACCATCTATCAGTTTGTTTGTGGGAGCCAGGTAGTGGAAGTTTTGAATTGAATTAGAAACAACACCATGCAGCAGAATTGCTCTTACCTTTACTCTCCTCAGTTAAGGGGACCGAGGCTTAGGAAGGATGATAGGTATGATCGGTTTATATAGCAAATGTAGGAGAAGGCATTCAATCTGTCCCCTCTACCCAGCCTGTCTCAGAGACAGGGCAGGGGAATGGAGGCCTGGAGGTGGGGCGTAGGTAGCAGGGAGTCCTCCAGGATGCCTGAAAATGATCGCAGGCAGGATTGTATGAACCCAAACTTGTAGCCCACAGAGTCTATTCCATACAGATACAAGACACCAGCCTCAGGTCAGTAGTTTTTCTTTTGTAGAGATTTAATCTGGAGCCTCCCCACCACCCCATTCAATCTTGTTTGATATTCTTTCTTATTTTAAAAAGTATCTTACTTTATTTTATGCATATGTGTGCATGCGTTTGTGTCGTATATACACGTGAATACAGATTCCCGCAGAAGCCAGAAGAGGCATCAACACCCCCGACCCGGTCTGACCTACAGGCCGTTGCTAACACTTGTCATGGGCAGTGGGAAATAAATCCGGGCATTCTGCAAGGGCCTTAGTGCTCTTAACCACTGAGCCACCCCTCCAGCCCTTCTTTCTTTACTTGAGACAAGGTCTTGCTATCTAACCGGGGCTGGTCTAGACATCTCAGTCCCTTTTGCCCCAGTTTCCTGATTGTTGGAATTACAGACAGAAATATTGTGCCCAGCTTTTCCTAATTGAGAAGTAGTTGCCAGCTTTGTGTGTGTGTGTGTGTGTGTGTGTGTGTGTGTGTGTGTATACTGGCAGCACAGGGGACTTTTCCGTCTTTCGCAAAGCCTCTTGGGACCACTGTCATATGTGCGCCTTGACTGGCGATGCCGCTCTCTGACACAAGACTGTGCTGCATTTCTTAAGTTAGGGATGGCTTCTGCTTACGGATGTGCATGGAAAACCCCAGGGCACCAGCTTAGCTCTAGCGATTCAGGGAAATGGGTGTCTAGATAGCCTGCTTTATAGTCGTCTCTATTTCTTCCATGGCTGCACTAAGGTCATCTGATTTTACAGGGCTCCTTGAGCCCAATGTAAAGAACATTGAACGTCACCTGTCCTTAGGAGGCTGGGCAGTGCTGGGGCCAAGGGCTTCCATCAAGGACCTCAAACACCTGGGCTTATTGACTAATGTTCCTATGATTTCATAGCCATTTGACACTGGAAAAATTACTTAATGCCTTTGAACTGGTTTGGCTGTCTTCAAAACACATACTTAATACATACATTTTAGGATTAAGGATTTTAAATGACAAAAGGAAACCACTCAGCCCAGAGTCTGGTATCTACTCTCCTCTACTAGATATTACCATTGTTATAATATTATGTCATATCTGAGTTTAAGAAGAATAGCCAGCGTTGATGTTTGCCACACACTCTTGTAAGGTTCATGTATGTTTTAGCCTATTCAATCATCTTTACAGGTTTATGTTGCAGGTGCTATTATGTCCATTGTACAGATGACAAAACTGAGACCTGGAACGGCTTCTCATCTGGGTGCTGTGAGCCTAGGGTCAAGCTCCACCTAGCAATCAAAGATTTGCTCTATTACAATGTGCTTGGTGTCCTCCAGCTGGGGGTCGTGTCTGTCATCTTTGAGGACACATGGTATTCTCTTGAGATTACAAATGCTAGGTTGACATGGGTTTCCTGGAGCACCACAATGTGATCGTTTCCAAGGCAAAGCTTGGACTCAGGTAGCAGAGAGAGATGTGATTAATTAGTGATTCTTGCCTTGGGCAAGAGAGTTGGCATTGTTAGCCCAATATATCTGGTAACCCCATTCTATGAAATGCCCAGAGCACAGTGGGTTTAGTCAGTTTGTTAACAAAGGAAGTCGCAGTCAACCAGCACCCCCCACCTTAAAGTATGTTTCCTAGTTTAAAGCCAGACCCTGGTTATGGCAACACACTCCTCTCGTTCAGTTAGCTTTCCTGCCTGGAGATTAAGGTTGGATATATCTCATAAGTCTCTTTGGCAGACATACATTTAGTTGTTAAACCATAAAAATATCAGCTGCAGCAAGTGTCCAGTCTGCCCCACCCACGTTGTCATCCTCAGCTGGGGGTGCAGAGAGAAGTTGGAGGACGGCGCAGCCACGGTGGTAAGAAGGGGCTTCTGATTGTGGAGTTCAATTACTGTGCAAGGAAGAACCCGTCAGCTGGCCCGGGGAGTCAGCCAGCGGGGAACTCAGCTGCTCCATGCACTGTTGATGGAGTTTCCTGCAGGGAAATGCAGAGAGGGTTCCTGGGTCTTGATTTTGTTTCCCCATCCTTGGCCTCCCTTCTCGACTTTCCGTCTTCCATGCACGCATGTCTCCCTATCTTCATACTCTTCTCTCTTTTTTTCTCCCCAGATTCTTTCTCAGACTTTTCTGGCAACATTCTGAATTCGTTCTCTGTGTGGAAGTAGAAATGCCAACTAGGGGGCTTCGAACCTGGAGGGTAAGTCAGTTTCCTGCTCTAGGCTAGCTGTGGCCCGTGGTTCCGGGCTGCTGAGATGCTGAGCTGAGAAGGACTGTGATGAACTTACCGTGTGTGTGTTGGGATCGATTAGTGATGTCTGCTCTGGGTGTGGATAAGGGGCCATGCTTCTGCTGACTCTGTCCACGTGGAAAGCTAGCACCGTTTTCCTGTTTGGTTTGGGGGAGCGAGCATGCTCAGGCTTCACTTCCAGGAGGCACTAGATTCAATCCCATGCTCTTTTGTGTGAATCTTGCATGAGTAACAGCCTGTGTGTCCCAGGGATGTTTTCTCAGTCTGAATGAAATGGGAATTAAAATAATCCTTATGAAGTGGTTGTGAATATTGCAGGCACGATGCCCATTTATTCAGTTACTCATCCTACGAGTATTTGTTGAATTCTGTCTATGTGCTGGTCATAGTGTGACAGGATGCTGGGGGTATAGTGGGGTAATATGGGTGTAGTCTATTCACTTAGAGCTCAGAGTCTAGTAGGGGATATGTGTTAGTTTTCCGTTGTTGACTAAGGAGTTGTGACAAACTTAGAGGCTTTAAAGAGTGGTTTTCTCTCATTCCTGCCTAGCTTTGTTGATGAACAGATACGTGAATGAACTTTACAGGGAGGTGTGTTAACTCTAGCCAGCAGCAGAAAGCGTGGAAAGGTAGGGATGTGAGAAGCCATCACAGTATGTCTGTGCAGGAGAGGGAGAGAGAGAGAGAGAGAGAGAGAGAGAGAGAGAGAGAGAGAGAGAGAGAGAGAGAGAGAGAGAGAGAGAGAGAGAGAGAGAGAGAGAGAGAGGAATGTGAGACAGCCATCACAGTATGTCTGTGCAGGAGAGGGGAGAGAGAGAGAGACAGACAGGGACAGAGACAGAGACAGAGACAGAGAGACAGAGAGAGACAGAGAGAGGCAGAGAGAGAGAGAGGCAGAGAGAGATGGGTGCTAATGTTCACCTCTCTTCCTACCCCTTTCCTCACTATTCAGTCAGATGCCGCTGTTCATATTTAGAGACTCTTTCCTCTTCAGTTAAGCCTTTCTGGAAATCTCCTATAGACAAACCCAGGGGTGTGCTTTTATGGTGATCTCAAGTCCAATCAAGCTGTCAATGAAGATTCACCACCACAGCCGGCTTCCTACTGACAGCATGAAGGTTGCAGGCAAGACGCCTACTGATCTGTGTTCTCCTTTGGAAGCTTGCCTCAAGGAAAGTTGGCTTTGAACCTTGCTTAGCTTGCTGACAGAATTCTCTTCCGACGGGATGGCTGTGGCCCTGGAGTTTGGCTGTCTGTTGGCTAGATTCCACTCTTGGGTTCTGGGAATCACTTAAGTTAGCTGGAAATCCCCCGCCGCCATGCCGTATGGACTTCTCTGGGACCCCCATTTGTTCCTCTAGCTGGCATCAGGGGTGTTTCTCCCTTGTCTGCCAATACAGTATTATGTCACAGAGTGTTAGTACTGAGGGTGACATTCCCTCACCTTGTTGATTAGAAGCAGGTCACAGGTCTTGCTCATTGGCAAGCGAAAGGACACCCTAACAACATGAAGTAAGAGTCATTGGGGTCACTGTAGAGTCTTTCCCACAGGATGAAGTGACAAGAAAACATAACAGTACTGAAAATTGCTATGAGAGGAAAGATTCCGAGACAAGGGAATGTGTGTTGGTTGAGGTGCGTGCAGTCTTGATGATGCCAGGGAGGATGCCCTAGAGGAAATAACTTTTAAGTGGAAACTGATCATATCTATCATTAGCTACAATCCAGATGTTGCTTTATGTTCTTTTTATTAGCATATGGCATTCAGAATGGGAAAAAGCAATTATTTAGATAAAGACTTGCCATTCCTGAACACAGCAGTAGTCCTATCCTTGCTATGGAGACTTCCCCTCAGAGTAGGCTTCTAGTCTCAGGCTTGGAAGTAGAGGCAAAGACCAAGCCTGTGGGGGTGATGGGCGGTTGGGAGTGGGATTTCAGGGATGTCTCTGTCAAGTCAGTGTTGGTGAGGGAAGCTGGTGGTGGCTGTTTGGACAGAGTGGGAAAGCCTCCATCTGCTCCAGATGGTGCCTATGGTTGAATATATAGACTTCCTTCCCCACATGGGCATTTAAGAGCAATAATAGTTATCACTCAAGGTCATGCTACAGTTTGCTGAGCTTTTAATAGGAGCTATTTGCTGTTACTGGGCATCCTGTGCCATGTTTCTGAACATCTGCTATGTGACGGGCACTTGTTCAACCCTAAGTGCTTGGATTTCTCCTTGTCACCTAACAGCATTAGATGACACGGTAGAGAAAGGAAGGCTGTTTTCCTTGTTCCTCACTCTCTGGTTGGTTCTCACTGTCTTGCACACTCTATCCTATCCCTCATAACAGTGGTTCCCAACCCGTGGGCTTTCCCCTTTGGGGTCACATATCCGATACCGTACCCATCGCATATATGTTTACATCACGATGCATAACGGTAGCAAAATTACAGTTACAAGTCGCAATGAAAATCATGTTGTGCTTGGGGGCCGCCACAACATGAGGAACTGTGTTAAAGAGTCGCAGCATTAGGAAGGTTGAGAACCACTGCCTTATAAGAAATTTGCAACGACTGTGGTAGCGGATAGTGTCAGTACCGCTTTGATGGTCAGTACCGCTTTGATAGTACATCAACTGACAGGATGTGGGATTACCCTGGAGACAAATGTCCTGGTGTGTCTGTGGGGATTTTCTGATTGGGTTCCTTAGGTGGGGAGATTCACCGTTAGCTCGGACAGCACCGTTCTACGGCTGGACCCTGGACTAAATGGGGAAGGCAGGCTAAGCACTTGTTTCTCTGTTTCCTGACTGCAATGAAATGACATCAGTTGTCTCATGATTCTGTCTTTACTGCCATAATGTAGCCAGTGTCCCCTTCCTTCCCGGAGTTGCTTTCTTCAGGTATTTTGACACAGAGATGGGAAAAGTAACTGACACAACCACCCACTTTATCCTTGAATTCTCTGCCACCTTCTCTCACTTAATCACGAGAACCAGGGCATTTGGTGACTCTTTACCATATGCGCCTTCCTTCGGCCAGCCTGACAATGTTCAGTCCTGTCTCTCCCTGGAGTCATTTCCTCTACCGTCTGCCTCATGTAGATGGCGCCTAACATACCGGATGGTCCAGCCCAGCTCATACACCGCTGTCTTCATAACTCCACTCTTATGTGTCTACCCCACCTCTCATAAATGAATTTAAATTTTTAAACTTTATTATACAAAGTTACAAATAAAAAACACATACCCAAATTAACCAAATCCAAAGACTATACAACTCAATAAACATATATATATATATATATATATATATATATATATATATATATGAGGCTGGGGGAGCAGACAGATGCTGCTTTGTGGCACGTACATGTCCACTACTGCTTTGCAGACACACGTGTGTTCTGTCTTCTACACAGTCATTTCTAGCCCCGCCTTATCTCCCCACACTGCTAAGACTCTCCATCCATTGACAAGCCTGATTTCTGTCCTAGGAGACAGAAACGACTCTGAGGGCTCTCATGCCTCCCGGCTCCCCTGCCTTCTCCTCCATCACTCTGTGTTACTCTTACCTACATTTCCACGCCCCTTTGGGGGATGGAGTTGTTTTTCTTTGTGCTCTCTCTCCTTTCTAACAGTCCTGCTATCGGTGAGTCTTTGTCTATTCTGTAAACAGTCGCTGCTTGCTCGTTCTCATCATGACTTCATTTGCCTCCTGGAGTCTCTGTGTTTCTGGTTGCCTTCTCCTGCCATCATATTCCAGCAAATACTCACACAGCTTCCCCCTTAAAGGCATTTTATTCTTACACAAATACAGTGTGACCACACTGTTGAAAACTGCAAAACTTCCTCCTTCTTAGTTTCATTTTACTTTTATTTGTAGATTTTGTTGGCTTTATTTAATGAGTATGAGTATATACCTGCATGTATGTACATGTGCCATGTGTGTGCTTGGTGCTGGAGGGTGCTAAAATCCCTTGAAACAGGAGTTACAGACAGGTATAAGCTGCCATGTGGGCTCTGGAACCAAACTTGGATCCTCTGCAAGAGCAATGAGTGTTCTTAATCTCCGAGCCATCTCTCCAGCCCCAAGCGTCATTTTATTTGACTTCATAGTACTGGCCATCACGTGACAAGCCACATACCTATTTTGCTTTCCATTTGATGCTTTGGTGTTATGATATTTCATTTTTTTCATTGCCTTATTCTTTGCATGCATCATGGTTCCAGACCTGTAATAAGCCTGCAGTGAATGTTTGCTTAAAAAATACCACATGCCCTCTCTTTCTCAGCATTCTTTCTTGTTTATTATAGTGATGTGTTTTTCCTTACCAAAAGCAGCCATTCGGAACATCACCATCTCCATCTCTTTCTGGGACTCTTTAGAGCAATGCTTCTTCCGACTTAACGTGTCCCGGGTTAACTGGAGGATCTTGTTAAGGCACAGGTGACAGTTCAGCAGGTCTCTTGTGGTCCTGCCTTTCTCAGAAAGTCCATAAATCATATACATGCAGTGGATGTAACCCACATCTGGAGAAGGAAGTCTAGTTTGCTCATGTTAGACCTCATTCTTCTTTTAAATGGAGCCTAAATATTTACACAGTGCATTTGCATATTTACAGGGTAAACATGGTCCAGAGTCCAAGCAATCCTGTGATAAGTGCCTCTTCAGCCACAGGTTGCATCGTTTGCGTAGACTGCTCCATCCATCTCCACACATACGTGTTCCAAGAGGGACTGTTTCAACGAGGCTGTTTCATGCTCATTACCCATGTTTGGGCAGAATTAATCTACTCTGAGCACATGTGCAGGGATATTGTTATTGACGATAGTGTCTTAGCAGTTTGCCATATTATGATATGAATCAATGAGAAAACAAGTCCTGCTTTTTGCTCCAATTATTGTCCTGTTCCTGGTTCTGTCTATAGAATAATATAGTTGCTGTGATAGGCATGCTAACAATTGGTTTTAAAAGTCAGGGCAGGGTGCTTCCTGCATAGTTTTCGTGGCTTATGCATGTTGGAATGGGGGGGTCTACCTAGCTTATCTTTGCCAAAGGCTTAGGTTGCACAGTTGGTCTCTCCTAGAAAGGGTGCCCTTTTGCAAACCGAGCTAAGGTACCTAATGTTTGATATCCTTGACCATAAAGCTACATGGACCTGCAGAGGAAAATAGAGAGCACCAAACACACTGTTTTCACCTGAAGGATGGAATAAAGACCAGTGTGTATCAGCATCATCAACATGATTGGCATCTAACATTTACTGAGGGATTAGGAGGGGACCCAGGGATAATTGTCTGTCTCATTTGTTCTCCACAAAGGCAGGCAGGTCATAAAGTTATTTTTTTATTTACTTCATTATACTAATATTATCCAGATGTGGAAATCTGGAGAGATAAGAAACATGCTTAGGGTCACAGAGTCTAATTGTAATTTTGTTTTTTTTTTCTTTTTTGTATTTAAATCAGAAACAAGCTTTTTTTTACATGTCAATCCCAGTTCCCTCTCTCTCCCTTCCTCCCCTGATCCCCATCAGCCCCCTACCCCATCCCTTTTTTGCTCCCCAGGGAGGGTGAGGCCTTCCATGGGGGATCTTAGAAGTCTGTCTTATCATTTGGAGCAGGGCCTAGACCCTCCCCTGTGTGTCTAGGCTGAGAGAGTATCCCTCTATGTGGAATGGGCTTCCAAAGACCACTCGTATGCTAGGGATAAATACTGATCCACTACCAGAGGCCCCATAGATTGTCCAGGTCTCCTTACTGACAACCACATTCAGGGGGTGTGGAGCAGTTCCATGCTGGTCTCCCAGCTATGAGTCTGGGGTCCATGAGTTCTCCCTTGTTCAGGTCAGCTGTTTCTGTGGGTTTCACTTGCCTGGTTTGACCCCTTTGCTCATGACTCCTCCCTCTCCGCAACTGGATTCTAGGAGTTTGGCTCAGTGTTTAGCTGTGGGTGTCTGCCTCTGCTTCCATCAGCTACTGGATGAAGACTCTAGGATGGCATATAAGGTAGTTATCGATCTCATTATCGGGGAAGGGCATTTAAGGTAGCCTCTCCACTATTGCTTAGATTCTTAATTGGGGTCATCCTTGTAGATCTCTGGACATTTTCCTAGTGCCAGATTTTTCATTAAACCTATAATGACTCCCTCTTTCATGGTATCTCTTCTCTTGCTCTCCTCTATTCTTCCCTCAACTCAATGTTCCTGCTCCCTCATGTCCTCCTCTCTCCTCCTCTTCTCCCCTTCTCTATTTTCTAACTCTCTTTCCCCTCCCCCATGCTCCTAATTAGCTCAGGAGATCATGTCCCTTTCCCCTTCTCTGAGGGACCATGTATGTCTCTCTTGGGGTCCTCCTTGTTTCCTTGAACTCACAGAGACCCGCCTGCCTCTGCATCCCGAGTGCTGGGATTAAAGGCGTGCGCCACCACCACCCGGCTATCCTTTAGTTTTGTAGTATTACATTGAATGTATATACCAGAATTTGTTCTAACATTCACTTACCAGTTAGTATATACCCTTCAAATATTTTGTAATCATGAACAAAGTAGCTGTTTATATTTGCATATAGGCTTTTAATTGAAAATATGTTAGCATTTCTCTGGGATAAATATGCAATGACTGGGCTGTATAGGAAGTGATTATTTAGTTTCATAAGAAATTGTTAAATTACGTACGATGGTGACTGTAACATTTTATATTCTTATCGGCAGTGTGTGTAAGACCCACTTTCTCTATCTTCATTAGTGTTTACTATTATTTCATTATTTTTTTAAAATTTTCTAAGAGATGGGTAGGTGCATGTTTTTGTGGCTTCTATTTGTGTTTTCTTATTGGCCAGTGACATAACTCTTCCTGTCTTTGCTAGCCTTCTGTCTCCTTGGTGAAGGATCTGCTCATATCTTCTGGCCATTTTAAAATTGGATTGTTTGTTTTCCTGTTGACATCTGAGAATTCTTCGCATGTTTTAGACATATAGCATTTGTCAGATATGTGGCTTCCAAATACTTCCCTACCTGTGGGCTCTCTTTTCACCTTTCAAACTGTCTTTCACAGTCAGCCATAGAATTCTCTCTTTGGAAAAGCCCAGCCTTGCCTTGAGAGTCCTGTGCATAGCTGCTCTGTTGTCTGCTGCTCCTGAGGGTAGGCTGGGGAAATCCTACATGGGTGAGCCCACTCATGGCTCAGCCACCATGGTCTTGGCACCATAGGGGTCACTAGCGAATATGTTTCAGGACATAACAAAAGTGCTCCCCAAAGCCAAAAAGAGTGTCTGCTACTGACAGAATAATTTTAGAATATTCCCAAATGTGCCTTCTTCAGTGTAGAGCCAGATCTACTATTCAAATGTTAGGAAGCTCTCAAGACACTTCATCCCAGCACATGGTAATTGGCAGACTTACATTACCAATCCTGACAGCCACACCACACACCTGGGATTTGAACTCTGAGCAGCCACGAATGCGACTTGTTCAATGCTGCCAGATGAAAGATGGATCCTTTCAGGGACTGCTCAGCCTGTCTGGGCCTGCGTGGTGCTGCCATGGAGATCATAAACATGGGGATTTTGTGACATAGTGCATGGATTGCAATTCTCCATCATATGTAAATTTCCACCACAGGGAACAAGATTAAAAGGAAAATAATTATGCATTAGTTATTTTCATTCTGGGTAACATAAGCCTTTGATTCCTTTTGGGAAAAATAGTCAAGGCTACCCTGTCTCAAACACTCACTTGTACATTTTGCAGGCATTCCAGATTTGCCTGTTTTTTTCTCCCAACACATACACTGAGATATGTTGTCAAGAGACTAACTTTCCTTACACATGCAACATAAGCTAACTGCTCAGACACAAGGAGTTAAGTAAAATTGTGCTAAACTCGGTTTCTGGAAAGGACAGGGGCTCTCATCCTTGCTGCTTTTCCATATCCAGATGGTACCCTGTGTCCTAAGCACACCTGCCTGTGAGCCCAGAGAGAGTTGAAAGTCACATGCATAGATTAGGTCTCTAGAAAGGTGGGAGATAACCAGGAGAGGGTGGCCACCAGAGGGCATTTGATCTCTTGGGAGTGTTGCCAGTGCTCTTGGGTGCTGTCATTTGCCGACGGGGGATGTCCTTCTGTATGTATGTTTCTCTCATTGTTTGCCGAATAAAACACTGTTTGGTCAGTAGAGGCAGGAAGATAGGAGGGGCTAGGAGATAAGGAGGATTCTGAGAAAGGTAGACAGAGAGAGAGATGGAAAAAGAGGCATCATGTGGAGACCAGGAGGATGTGTCAGGTGTTCTCTGGTGTTCCAAGACCACATGGAAATACATAGATTTATAGAAATGGGTCAATAATTAAGACAGAGCTAGCCAATAAGAAGCCCTAGCCATCGGCCAACAGTTTAATAGTTAGTATAGCATCCGTGTGTTTATTTGGGGCTGAGAAGGATGGCAGGAACTGGCAGGATAAGAAACACCAACAACAACCCACCCCGGTTTAAAAACGTGCTTTGTGGCTGTGAGTGAGTGAATACAGCAGGTTCCCTTAGCTCTTCATTTGTCATGGAGTTGAAGGGCATCAGAAACAGAGTTAGAGAGTCCTCAGGAACGTTTGAATGGTATATACCCTGACTCGGATGTTTCTGGTAGCAATATTTACTGTAATTCAATACTCGTTTTTAAAGGTGGCTCCCTCTCCCTTCCTTATCTTCAGAATGGTTTTCCCAGTCCTTCATAGGCTGGGATATCTTACCTTGGTCCCTTTCTTTTTCCGTACCCTCTCTAATCCCTGTTACCTCTTATTCATTCTCTTACGTCATGTGCAGATTTATCTCTGCGCTCTATTTTCCTGTGTGCGCTTTCACCGCCGCCAACTACAGGACCCGCCCAAGTCCTCACTACTCACCCAAAGTGACACCATCACCCCCCAGTGTGTTACCAAGTCAGGGTACCGCACCATTCTGACTCAGTGAGATGCACCTCAGCTGCATTTGGAAGAGTCGCCATCGCCCATGCTTGGTTCCACGTTTCCTTCCTTCCCGTCTGAGGTACCATTTGATTCTTACTTCGTTCTTAACTCTGACCTTCCTTTTCCCACGCTTTCCCATGGTCCCTGGGGTTCTGTCCTCTCATCACCATGCGTCTGTTCCTCAATCCTTCTTACACGAATCCTGCACTTCAGAGCATGAACATTGTAGGGTGCAGCCAAGCCAACTTCTGTTAGCAGTGTCAGGAAGAACGTTGTCTTTTCTTGAAGACAATTGGTTTTAAAATATTTATTGTTATTAATGATTATCGTTCTTATTATTATTTGTACAGGTGTTTAGGCTGGATGTAACCATGTGTGTGTCTGGTTACTCTGGAGGCCAGAAGAGGACTTTGGGTCTCCCGGAACTGGAGTTACAGCCAGTTGTGAACCAACAGGTGAGTGGTAGGAATTGAAACTGGGTCCTCTTGAGGAGCAGCTCAACAAGAGTGCCCTTAACTACTGAGCCATCTGACCAGCCCAGACAGTTGACTTGTAAGCTAATGCTGTCAGAGATCCTGTTCTCTGAGCGAAAAGCCTGTTTGCAAATTAAATGCACAGAATAGAAAGATGGTTCTGGTTTGGATATGGAGTGTCCCCAACAGGCTCATGCTTGGCTTCCAGTGAGTGAGTCTTGGCTTAGTGTCCAGCCAGACAGAAAGTACTCCTCCCCCACTTGCAGCCACAGTTAGAACGCAAGCACTGTGTGTCAGCCAAGCAGAGCACAGTTGCATTTGGATTTAGGCTCCTGCTTCCTTTGTTATCTCTGGCCTAAGCTGCAGGCTCAGGGCTTCTGGACACAACGTCACAGGGTTTTTGAAAGCAGTCCCCTGAAGCATCTGGAGACTTCCTGTATCGGGTCCTCCCATCAGCCTGAATTGGCGCCCATGACTTCTTGCCTGGCTCCCAGGCTTTCGCTCGTCCGGATCCTCCGTGTAGAACCACAGGTCACACCCTGTTTCTGACCTCATCGTCCCCTCACCAAGTCCTTTTGTTCCTCAGTTTCTATCTAAGGCGTGCCTACTCCGGCTTGCTGTGAACGGCTGCAACCTTCTCACCCAGAATGCATGCCAGATCATGTTGACTGCTCACTTGCGACCGACCTCCGTCAATCAAGCCTGAAAATACCCATCCTCCTTTCCCAGCATGCCTCGTCGCTAAGGTCTAGGGACGTGATCTCATTCTGCCCCAAGGAATAATATGGTCACCAGGCAGCAGGATTCTTAAGAAAGCATTTTCCCCATGACAACAAAGGAGCGGTTCTTTTCATTTCTGCCTTGGAATGTAGTTCTCCGAGGACGAGAGGCTTGGTGCTGTAGCAGTCTGCACCCTGGGTGGGGGCTGGTGGGGCAGGAGGGGCGGGGGGAACCTCATGAGGAGAGCAGAGAGTAAGCCACATTGCTGCTGTTCTCAAGTACAGAAACAGCCTAGGAGCCTTTTCTCCAGGTTTCTGGGCATGTGAAATAAGGTAAAACTCCCTTGATGCCTATGTTGTATTTGGACAGGGTATTCTGTCTTGTGCAAGTGAAATACTGTAAATAATTCAGCATGCTATGTTCACATTGCTTATATGCTTTTCCCTTTTATTATTTTATAAGTTATTTGTGGGAGAGTTGACCTTCTTGTCCCCGGTGCTTGCAGCAGAGTCAGAATTCAGTAGACTTTCATTGTAATTTTCCCATCAAGAGCTACAGACCAGGGTATGCCTTAAACGTCTGTCCCACTCTGGAGATAGCCTTGGAGTGTTATGGAGTGGGTACTGCATTAGTGGATCTTAGATGAGAAGCCCACCTTTTATCTAAGATAGAATGTTCTATCATATTAGCATAATTAATCAGTGCTTTTGAAACTGTTTATTCAGACTCTGCATAAAATCTCACTATGAAGCCACGTATACATGTCAGATCAAAGTACGTACGGCACATTGATCAAGGAAGGAAAGGGATGATGAACGCTTGTAGGCCCCTTATCCATGCAGGGAATGTCTCATGTCCTGCTCGGGGCTTTGGGTTACCTTGGTTAATGGGTGCTGAGCCAAAGAGCTGCTTGAATGACCTGTGGCCCATCAAAAGCCATGGCTTTCCTTGGTCCTATCCTCTGCCGAGGACTATTAGCCTCTTTTGATATTCCACATTTATTCGTGTGCTTAGGGACCTGCAGTGGCACTGGCTGAAAACGGTGGGTGCACTGGACTGAAAACTTCAGGCTCCTTTGGAGGATGCACTGGGCAGTCCTGGTGATGTGATCACATGCACTTAAATTTGTGGCTTGTTGCACAAGCCAGCGGAATCTTTGTTGTACCAGTGGGAGCCCTTGCAATCCAGAAAGCCTCTCCCAACCAAGACTAGACAGCTTACACAGGCTTTGGGCTCTTATGTTCTTACTATCTGGGAGGAAAATCACTTTAGATTCGTACAGAGACTTACAGAGAGGCCACCTTCTTCTCAGGTTTCCATGCCCTAGTTACTGAAAGCCCTGCTGTCTTTGGTCTTCTCAACAGTGGTGTTTAGGCAGCAGGCCGGCTCTCAATGTGTTACAGTGTCAGGCCAGGAAGGGAGTCACACAATTGCATTCTGCTCATGGAATGTCTGTGTGAGGTGGCCTGCATTACTAATCATATCCGTATGTGTAATGATCACTCACGGAGGACCAGCGTGTGAGCGTGCTAAGGAGGGCGTGTTGATTAGTCGTCTTTGTTAGCCTGACTAGATTTAAGATCATCTGGGACACACCCCTCTGGGCACATCTGAGGACATTTCCAGCGCCCTTTAAATGAGGCTTAAATGAGGTGGGAAGATGGATCCTGGACATGGGTGGCACCACCCCATGGACTGGGGTCCTTGACTGAACAAAAAGAAAGAAGCAGGTGGAGAGCCACAACTGTCCTTCTGAGGCAGATGGTCACAGGCAGTCTGACTCACACTCCGGCTACCATGCCTTTCCAGCCATGAACCACGCCCCCAATGAATGACCCAGAACAATCCCCTTCTTCCTTAAGTTGCCTTCTCAGGTGCTTAGTTACAGCTAGGATACAAGTAATCAAGACAGGCGAGGATATCTTTCCCTTTGCACAGCGGTCTGCCGTCCACTTTAACTTCAGAGAAGTGAATTTATGCCTCTCAGACTGGAAGGATTGTGACTTAAGACCTCTTATCTGAGTTCCTCTTACCTTTGTGGATTCTTTGAATCTCATCTTTCCCCCCAAGGTAACAGCAGCCTTGAAGCTTTCTCAACTGTGGTCTTTTCTTTCTCCATCCATCCATCCATCCATTCATCCATCCATTCATCATCCATCCATCCATCCATCATCCATCCATCCATCATCCATCCATCCATCCATCCATCATCCATCCATCCATCATCCATCCATCCATCCATCATCCATCCATCCATCCATCCATCCATCCATCATCCATCCATCCATCCATCCATCCATCATCCATCCATCCATCATCCATCCATCCATCCATCATCCACCCATCCATCATCCATCCATCCATCATCCACCCATCCATCCATCCATCCATCCATCCATCATCCATCCATCCATCATCCATCCATCCTCTTTACTTCCAGCTATTGTTCTAGCATCCAAACATACAGAAGCGAGTAAGCAAGCAGGCCTCTTGTGTCATCAAGTTCGCATCTTAGTTCGGGGATAGAATCAAGTAAGTAAGTACAAACACACTGTCTGGGAGTTAAGGAGCAATGAAGAGAATTGTGGGACCACGAAGCTAAGCCTCCCAGATCTCATACTGCTGGTGTGGAGTGACTGGAGATGCAGCCACACAGAGTTATCACTGTTTACTCTTAGGACCATGCTTCTCTGGATGCTCCCTGCCAAATAAAGAGGGAGGCAGGAATATTAGAGCAATCTGCCACTCACTGATGGTGAACATTGGCTTGGGTGTCTTTTGAAAGACATGCTGAAAGTTTTTGTCTTTCTCTCCTTCTCTCTTTCCTGCTCTCACTCCCTTCCCCATCTGCCTGTCTCCCTCTTACTAATTTTCTTTTATTCTGACAGTGCTGGGATCGAACCTAGGACCTCACACATGCAAGACAAGCAGTCCACCACTGAGTTACATGCCCAGCCTTTTCTCTACTTTTTGGTTTGAGACAAGGTCTCACTAAGTTGCACAAGCTAGCCTCAAAAGTGTTTATAGCTCAGTCATGCCTTGAAATTGTGATCCTCCTGCCTCACCTTCTTGAGGACTGGCTTTATAGACCTGTCCCATCAATCCTGGCTTTGCATTATTCTTAGACACATATCTTGGTGCAAGACCCCTCATCTATTCCTCCCCCTTTTGTTCTCCTTACCCACCACCCTTTCCCCTCCCTTGATCCCTCATTCCTGTTCTCCCCTGTCTCTTCATTATTTGGAACTGTTCTCCATTGCAGTTGGACAGCCCCTTACCTCATTTTAACGCTCTCTCTCCCCCTCTTTCCCTGCCCCTCCTAACTCCTCCTGTATTTTCTCTAATATGAGTTTCCACGTTTGTTTTTGAGATGGCACTGCACTGTAGAACACAGGTTGGCCTTGAACTCCAGATCCTTCTAGCTCAGCCATTTTTGAGGGCGGGTCTCACAGGCATGTGCCATCACACTCTAGCGTTTAGTCTTCCTGCTGCCGCCCGGGTCCTGTTACCGCTTTCAGCTCCCAAATAACACACAAGACACAATATTAATTATGAAGCTGTTGGCTGTTTGTTGTGGTATCTAATAGGCTAGCTCTGACTTGGATTATTAACCCATAATTACTAATACATATTTTATAAGGACGTATCTCTTTGAGGACTCACTCCTAAGCGCCCGTTGCTCCCGGGAGATCACATGACGACGACTCTCCTCACTACATTTCCCAGAATCCTCCTAGACGCCTAGTCCTACCTATTTTGCTTCCCTATTGGCCAACAGTGCTTTATTGACATACACACAGAAGGACTTCCCCCCATCAACACTCAGAACATTTTGCATTTCTTATTCCACCTTCGTGTTTGTGTCTCCGAAGGCCTGGACTCATTCTAACTAATGCAGCTCAGAGAGAGAGAGGGTGACAGACAGTAGGGGCCACGTTAGATGAGTGGCCGTGGAGAACGCACGGACGACAACACGTGCTGACTGACCGAATTGAACTGAGGGCATGGGTACCTACGGGAAGACCAGAGGTAACCCTGGCAGCAAAAGAAGGAAAACAGCATACCGGAACCATCGCGATCATAGCTCTGTCTACCCCCAGCCCTAGTTCACACCAGCTCCCTCCTGTCTGAGTCACTGTAACGCTATGTGACTTGCATAAGTAGCTCCATTTAAGTTCCTGTGAACAAAGAGCCCCAGGCTGGACATCAAACTGCTCTTGATGCTTTTCCTCCATCCGTGTGACATCTTGTCTGATGTCTCTGTCAGGCCTCGGCTACGGGGACAACGAGCAGGGCAGAAACAGACTCTGCCTGGAAGCCTAATTGTTCCACAGTGACACTGGATTCGTGTAAGGCAGGTGTAGGGAGGGGGCCTGGAGCTCGTGTGCTGAGGATCTGATGGATTGGGTCTGCGACTGGAGGGGACAGCCTGCTGATGTACAAAGCAAAGCTCTGTGAGCCCGTTTGGACATCAGCCAGAGGAGGGGCTCTGTCTACCACCCAGAGGAGAAGGAGACCAAGGACAGCCATGGCCGCTGACGTTGCACAAGCAGGTTCAAGGGGTGTTTCCCATGTAAAATGGAGTTTTGAACCAGCGGAGGGTAACAGCTGTGCTCAAGGACTTTGGCTTCTGAGTATAGAATATTAATATCGCCCAGGAGAGTGACAGAGTGTGCCCATTACTACTAGAGGTCGACAACTGAACGTAGGCACATTTCCTAGAACTTCTTTTTAGTGGTAAAACAGCATCGCCCTGTTCTAAGTTTTTGGTGGAAACAGGCTGCAGGCTGCCAACAGCAGTGCAGAAACGGAGCTGGACATTGAAGGCTCCCTGTCTTTAAAGGCTGTGCTGGGAACACCCCAACTTCTGGAAGGATATGAATGTACAATGCCCAGAGATGAACATGTGTCCACCCAGTGACCTCGAGGAATCTGTGGAGGTGTGCTTTAGGGTTTAGTCCGCTTATCAGCAAGAGGTCCAAATGCAGTAGCGTAAGCATCCGATGTCCGTAGTAGTCTAAACAGCCTTTGAGCGAGATGCTATAGGACCGCTAAGGTGATTTCGTGAATTATCGAAGATTCGGGAACCTTATGTCTTTCTCTTCTGCGTGCACCTTCCATCTTCATAGGCTGAGTTGGCTGTTAAAACCCCTGCCACAAAGTCAAAGGACACAGAGCAAAGAGAAGAAATGGAAGACACGTGCCGTCCCTGCGGTGAAGTTGTACCCGTGCTTGTCTGTAAGGAAGCCTGAGAAACATAAGCCAATGCCCCTAGCTTGAGTTTTGTTTCTTAAAAGAGGGGAGTGATTTCTGGGAGGCAGCCAACTGCCTGAGCAGACGGAAGTACACACATCGGAAGTACACACATCCAAAGTAAGACGTATTATTCATTTATTCACTCCGTTCACAGCACCAGTCATTAATTCCACAGTT